CCAGTGAGCATGCAAATCCATGTGCTTCAACACCGGCTCCATAACCGCTCGTAGTGAACCGAATGACGCCTAAAAATCAAAATCTCAATGAGGGCTTTATTCGAACCATCCGAACATGTCCGGAGAAGGAAGACTTCAACAAAGGGTACCATACTTACAGGACTTCTCATGCTATTAGGTTGTCCCAAAAGTTCGTGGAACTTTCGAACATTTTTCGAGTTAAGTTTATTCCAGTGGGAAGCAATTTTGATCAACTATATATATGTCACCTTCATTGGCAACTTGTTGCCAATCACTACGCAATGTGTGGTTGCCCTGCTTCCTTTTGAGGTACTATCAAAAATCGTATTTTTTACCCAGAAGATGGCCGCTGTGGGAGTTTAGATGGCGATCGGAAAGAGCTAAGTCAGGGCTACACGAAGACTGTGGTGGAATTCCCCAGCTAAGCTTCGGGATCTCGAGCAGTGTCGTTTTCCAAATGTGTGACCCTGAGCTGTGCACTCACTCCATATCCAGTTACAGTGCTGTTCAACCAGTCCGTACAGCGGAAGCGGGAGAAAAGTTGTAGACAGTACCCACATGTGCTCCCCTTGGAGTACTGGTCAACTCATGAGAAAAATTTTGACCGAACTTCAGAACTTTTCTAAGGAAGCGAGGCCCTCTCTCATTTGTGCTTTGGGACCAGTCAAGTGTAAGGACTAGATAGCAAGTTGATTTGTACGTATTGGTTTTAATCAAGGAACACAGTAGGTCCAAATCCAAGGCAGGTGGCCTCCTTGGACGAAGTTTTTCACCCGGATAGAAGTCACTAAAGCGGAAGCAATTGAGCCATTCCAAAGCCGTACTGTGGAAGCTAACATCAAGATCTAAATAAGGGAAATGCCGCTTATGGCTCCAACCACGTTGTGGCTTGGTAGAGATTCATATAGCGAAGTGTGTCGAAAATGATGAATTTCAATTACCGTTTTTCATATGAGAACAGCGACTGCGAGGGACGGTGAAGAAGCTGTGGAATGCTTACCTAACACACTTCCCATAGACCACATAACTGGATCTCGAAATGGCTGCGGAAAGATCTGATACGAGATTCAAAAAATGTCCACGAACTTTTGGGACAACCTAATAAATCGCTCGCCACTAGCAATTTGAGTGCAAGCGAAGCGCTCTAGGGAAGGAAACCTCAAGCTCGTCACACTCCAGGTGACTCCCTCCCTCCTCCGCCTCTCCCACGCTTGACGTCAGAATTTTTTTGGAGAGAACTAGACTGGAAATTGGAAACATAAATTCGCAAAGAAGGGTCACACTGACGCCGCCATTTCAATTTGTAGAGGGGGCGTAATCGGTAAACATTTTCTTCAGCGACCGGAAGTGTCCCAAGAGGGGTGCCCCGAAAGAGAAAGCACAATGCTTAAGTGATTCCGCCCGAACGATTGGCATGGACAGGCCCTGTGCGCTTCAGATTATAGTTTCAAATGTAGTGGGTCCCTATCAAGAAAGTAAAAGCTTGCCGTAAGAAATAGTAACAAATGTCATTATTTTGGAAAGTAGAGAAGATTGGTCAGGCATTCGCCTTAACTGAAATGGCACAAAGTGATCAAACGCCTAACTCTGGCTTTGCAATTATCGAACCATAAAGTTCAGTGGGGATCCTCGAACATTGAACCTTCGAACGCCAAGTAGTTTGAAATGAAACAGGATCTCTGTAGTAACGTCCTAGTTCTATTCAGTTGCATAGAGCTCATGACGCATGGGTATTAGTGGCGCGTCCAACAGGCCATTCATTAACCGCGGAGATCAGTTCAGGTAGCCACAGATTGGAACAAGTTACCCTTGCACTTTAACCACTGCCCACTCTGAAGAACTCAAAAAGTGGCAAACCGTTGCAATATCGGGAAGGGGGGCTGGTCAAAACGTCCTGATCACGAGTTGAGGTGACACGGCACGTCCATTTTCAATGAAGGAATTATGCGCCGCATCCCAGAAAGAGCATTGTAGCGGTGAAGATACCATCTCGTCCCTTAAGTGCGCGAAATTGCCGATATCGCATGGGTGACCCCTAGATTCTTCTCTATAAGCCTCGAAGAGTTCGGAGGCATCGCAAGACACTTAATCGCCGAGTATTGCCCTTTTCATAATGGTGTTCGCGGCTCATAGTTTTAACGACTCACTCTCCTAGTCAACTCATAGCAAGCACGCAAGTGCCCTCAATAGCCTGCACTCAGCCCGTCCGTTCCAGTAAAAAAAAAAACCGCATTGCATTTAGGAGAGGAGCTTTTTTCACCCTCGTTGTCTTTTGGGTACGTCTTTTTTCAGTCCTAATGGGAACCGCAAGAGGAGGGGGGGTTTTTGTACTCGAGAGGTGCCTTAGAGAGAGACACTTTGGTTCGGATAATAGAGGAATTGATTCGCGCATTTCTGATTCAATTTTTGCGTTTCACCGCGGCGCGACCACTCCACGCCCCACCGATGCGGCTGTATATATGAGTTGGTAGGTCGTACCAGAGGAAGGAAAAATGGGGGGGGGCGTTCGATTCAGCAAACATTTCAACAGGGAAGTCTGTGTGAGTCCTGAACAGGATAGAGGTATGAATGAAGCCAGTCAGGTTTCCGTAACAAAGCTGGCATTGTAACTTTTCTTTTTTCCACGGCCCAACTCATCTTTGCGATCATTCCCCTCCTCCAGTCACCAAATACGATCCCCGCCGCGCTCAATAGCCATCGAGCGGGAAGGGGGGGGGGGGAGTCATTACCAACCAACTACTAGTTTCAACTAGTGAAACCAGGTCTAGTCACAAATCCTGCTGCGCCCACTCTTACGATGAAATATTGCATAAAATAAAAAATAAATTAAAATGGTGCACTTTGTGGAAGGTGCAGTGTGCGCTTAATGTATGGGTTTCACTAGTTGAAACTAGTAGTTGGTTGGTAATGACCCCCCCCCTTCCCGCTCGATGGCTATTGAACGGGGCGGGGTCGTATTTGGTGACTGGACGAAGGGGAGTCGTATTCGGTCCGATGAAGAATTTCTCGATAGTTGATGCCCCAGTAGCGCTTCAGAACTACTGCATACTACTAGTATTTTCAATAGTTGACGGTATTAGTTGGTTCTTGACGACCTCCACCCCTCCCCCTGCTCGATAAAAAATTTTGGAGAGAAACTGAAAAATTGTCGGAAAATTTTGGTAAAAGTGGTAGGAAGCTCAGAATAGTAGGTAGGATGGAGAGGGGGGAGGTAGTAGCACAGGAGGAAATCTGTGGGGGAAGGGTCTATTTTCTGGGTTTTTTTCCCAACGGCAGGACGGCCCTGTCAAGAATAAACCAGAATTTGGCAACAGTATTTCAGCAACGAAAAGTAACATAGCGTCATAACAATAGGACATTCAAAGGAGCATCCACATTGGTGGTATGGGCGGAGTCAGACCTACCGTCCAGGCTGCCTCACTGGTGCATCCTAGCCTCAATGGCGATAACGAAAAGGGATGCGCCATTGAAAAAGCCTGATGGTAGGCCTGACCCCGCTCACACGACCAGCAGAGACAACATCTTCAAGGATTTTTAAGAAACCCGTATAAATGGAAATAATCAAGGCAAAAGCGAAGGCGAAAATAAAATCAATTATTCCATACCTTTCCCATAAGTTCACGTAAACATCGATCGGATAAGGCACGTGGACTTTCTTCACGATTTGGATCGTCGCTGAGTGGAGCGAATAACGTCAACGATTTAGTGGGTTCATCCAATTGATCTAAAAGGGGCCATACCAGTACTTTTCTTCTTGCAAAAAGAAAATCAAAAAGTCGATGAATTCTCAGAGAATCATGTGACCCCCCCCCCCCTTCCCGAAAACGATGGAAGACCCTAACAATATGAGAAAACATAGATTTTTCCGAACAGATTACCTGCTTCCTGAAGATTGAACAGTATTGATGGCACGATTTTGTCCATATGTTGCTTTTCCCAGATATTCGGATGTAAATCGTCTGTTACTGATTTCCATACAACTCCTGAAATACTTCATCTATCAGTCTGCTGATGTAGCGCAGGTACGTTACACTACTTAACCGGTTAAGAGACAGATGACGTATCATTGACGTCACATAACATGTTAACAACGTGCCCTGAGTCACTGATAACGGTGGAGTCGTCATTCGTGTGTTATGTGACGTCAACGACACGTCATCTCCCATCAAGTGATAAATCTCGGATGCACCTGAACTCAGTTCTTGCCCTAATTCCCGCATGCGCCAGATCCTTAGGATAACCAACCCAGAACTTCAGCACTTTTCTCTCCCACCACTTTACCATTTCTAACTTCCTGCATACCCACGGCAGGACACTTCCTGCCGTTGGGGATTTTTTTTCTGCGAAATAGCATCCCTCCTCGAAATTTATCGCCGTAACTCAGATCTCATAACCAGCACCGAGGAAACTTTCTGTTCCTGAAACTTACCCTTGAACCCTATCACCTGCAAAAAGTACTCATCGGATGCGACAAACATTCCAGATTTTCGGTCAACTTGAAAGCCACTTCCAGAAAGTGGATGTCCTTCATATGCCTTTCAAGGAGCAATCTTTTGGCAGAATTCATCAACTACGTCTCCGGTCACCCCTATACCGCTAGCTCTAATGCATATCTGGTGTAGTCGTCACAGCAGACGCAGCCACCACCATTCCCAGAAAGGCGAAGGACCAGGGGTGAACTGCCGATCAACGCCGTGAACAATTTGGCATAGACCACAACACGAAGGGGGACCCACAAAAAACTTGACTTCGTTCTCTTTTATGATAATTTCCCCATTATTATGGCTCTGTTTGCCGCGTCAAAGTCAGCCTTGTTAGGTCGCACTCTTGCAAGCATAAAAAATAGAATTATGCGCCAGCCAACAGTTGTAAAGATTGCGCCATGTACTTGGCATTGACCCAAAATACTGAGTATATCCAAGCGAAAGCTGGCATTCACCATGGAAATTAGGCAGATGTTCCATTTACTGTTTCTCGCCTCCTGGACAGTACTGGTACCAACTGGCCGACTCCAGTGATGGCTGACTTTCTGCGTTTCTTTACCTTGTATCGTCACCGTAATCGACCTTTCATGTAGCAGCAAACTGGGCACTGATTGCCATGGGGTGGGGAATGGTCTCTGCTACGCGCGAGGTGAATGGGTCCACAGTTACAATAGCGTGCCACTTTCCCCGGTCAAAGTGCACGAGAACGGCTTGGAAGGAGCCTCGCAAAAACGCTACCGTACTCTGTGACGAGCATATGTGATCGTCCTATGACGCTGCAGGCAACGTGCGCGGTAGCTATTGGTGTAAATCGTTGTCTCGTAACTTGGAAACGTCAAAGTAGTAAAAGGTTATGCGCCTCTGACTGCTTTATATCCCAGATCGTGTGACGTTTCGTTGGTATACTCTTTGCGAGTGCATACCTGGCAACCAAACGCACAAGGGATAACTTGATCGCAAGGCATTGCCTCTGAAGACACACACCACCCTGATCACAGGCAGTATCGGACCCACACTATACCTTCCTAGGGCGCGCTCCTGCTCTTTACCGTACTAGAGTGGAAAGACGTACCAAAAAGGAAGGTCCTGTGCTGGTCCGTGACTTCACCGACACGGTCAGCGTGAAGTGTACATCCGCATGCTTATGACATGGGAGAAACACTATTTAAGAATCAGATTCAAATATCAGTACCTCGTAGCCCTTTCAGTCCTGCACTACGTATCTTCCGTGAATCCTCGCCGTACGTTGCATGACACATTTGAGAAAATTTTGAGATGAAGAAATCATATTGACGATGATACGACGGACTGCTTTCTTCGATATTTGAGAAAGTAACGAACGAGTCGGTCGCCAATTGCTAGAAACATGATCGATAGTGTTTTCACCAATAATTGCCGGCACAGTTCGGCGACGGGAGGGGGGGGGAGGGGCATTTTGCTTCCCGTAGAGTGTAGACCCATCTAGATAGCCTTTTCTTGGGTTGACACGCCATCGTGGCTAGACGAGCTTGCTCCAGCTTCACAAGAGTTCACAAGTTTCACCAGAGTGAGACTTGTAAACCGGAAGTAGTGAAGCAGTGAAAGTGCAAAATGCACCCCCCCCTTCCGTCACCGAACTGCTCCTAATTGCCTTTGCCTAATTGCCTTTTAATTCTGCAGTTTGCGCTCCGAAAGTCATCAAAAGAATGCTGAGTTGTGGGCAAAAGTCACCCCAAGTGTATTTCAAGTCGCGACTCAAACTCGTACCTCACACCGTACCTACTACGCATAATGGATAATGCACTCACCGAGACAGAAGTGCGGGTTTAAGTACCGCCCAGGGTCAGAACTTTTGCCCAGAACTCAGCATTCTTGTGAGGAAAAAGACAATTTTCGTACAAAGTTGCACGTAGTTTCCGTGCGCAATATATTTGAGCACGATGGCGCAGTTTGCGACGGGGGGGGGCATTTTCCGCTTCCACTGCTTCACTACTTCCGGTTTACAAGTCTCACTCTGGTGAAACTTGTGAACTCTTGTGAAGCTGGAGCAAGATCGTCTAGCCACTATGGTAAAACGTGTCAACTCAAGAAAAGGCTATCTAGATGGGTAGACACATCGATGGCAAAATGCCCCCCCCCCC